TGCTGCCCGCCTCCAGAGCTGCCCCGTAATTGGCGGCTTCCCATTGCCAGACAGTGTGCCTGCTCTCCAGAGAGGGATGGGAGAGCCCCTCGGAGGGCATGGCCACGCCGCACTCCCTCCGCCTCATCCTTCTCTGCTGAGTGCAGGTGCCCTGCTACAAATTAATAGCCAAAACTCAGTTCTGATTAGATTAATTATCAGCCTCAAATCCTCGAGGGCTTCAGAGGGGAGGTGGGGGAGTCAGGGGACGCCGTGTGCACTGGCTGCTGACATGGGCACCGTGCGGACCGTCCACTCCCTTTCCCATGAGGGTTTTGGGCTGTATTTGAAACTGCTGGACTTTTATAAAACTACCTGGTCGACGAGCTAAGGGCAGGCCCCATTCGGCCGTACTGCTCTGCAAACCTGTTCCCGCGAGCTCACTTCCACAGGGGCCGGGACAGTGGGAGTCACTCCTGACGTCACTGAACCACGAGGCGTTTCAGCACAAGTGACACACAGGCTGGAGCCTCATCAGTGTCAAGACCAGTGTTACTGGGGCCAGCAGGTGGCATAGTGGTTAAGACGCTGCTTCGAATACCGGACTCGCTGGCTTGAGAATCACGCCAGGTGTGTGTGGCCCAAACCCTGAGAGGAGAGGAGGGACTGCGGTGTGGCCCTCTCCTCTGGGGAGGGTGTTTTCTTTCCCTCTTTCTGTTGTTCTCTCATGAACGCATGTGCCCTATGACAAAAACCTAAAACGAAGGGAGCACGAAAGGCGAGCAGGTGTCGGCTCCGGAACAGCGCTGAGCTGCGGGTGGGACACAGGCGGCGCTCCGGAGGGGCGGGGAAAGCTGAGACCGAGAGCCGACCCGCAGCTGAGCGGAGCGTGAGAAAGCGGTGGGGCAACGTCATCTCAGTCAGAAGATCGAGTATCACAGGGAGAGGGGCTCCTGCCCGTTTACAACCATCCGGGTCAAGCCGGTATCGGCTCACAACGCACACGGCACGAGACGACCAGGACCCACGGAAGTAACCTGCGCTCGAGGGACATCGCGAAATCGCCCTTCACTTGGCTCGAGGACTTGTCCCCCGTGGCAGTCCAGGGCAGGCTGAACTTCCCCGCTGGTTTCTCTCTCTTGTTTTGCTTTTTTTCATTGTATTTTACTGTTTAACTTGATTTATTTATTCATTTGTTTGTTCGTTTAAATTTTACCACAGAGGGGCAGAGAGAGAGAGAAAGCAAGCCACCAGGCCTGGGACTCGAACCACAGTCAGTCATGAGGGATTCCAGCGCCATCAACCACCAAAGCACCTTCTGGCCCTCATCTTTTTTTTTTTTTTAATGTAAAAAAGTACATTTATGTTCATTTAGGAAGAATTCTGGGTTAATTTGCCAACTCAGTGACGGGATCGGAGTCCCGGCTGCCCCATGTTGCTGGTCACCGTCACCTTGTCGGGGTGGCTCCTGCGATGATGCCCAGCTCCTCAGGGTCTCCGACAAAGAACTGGATGGAACATGCTGATAGCGAGAAGAGGAGGCAGAAGCCTGGGACCGTCGGCCAGCTGTGGCGGGGACACAGCCCCCCACACAAGCGCGAGGAAGCCGGCCCTCACTAGCCCTCCTCCTGCAGGCCCTCCTGAGACCGTGACCAAGGATAGAAAGAACTGGGCCTCGAGCTTTGACAACTACCAGCCCAAGAGCACGGGACACTTCAGGCGGACGCATGTCACAGAACGCCACGCCGCGGAAATCTGGCTGTGTTTCAAGATCGGGCCCCCATTGACGCCTCACAATAAAGTCCAATCTCCAGCTATGTTAGTATTTCCATGGGAAGGTTTAGATGAGGAACTAAAAACAAAACTCTTTGGCAGAAAGTAAGCAGTGAATCATATTTTTAAATGCATCCAATGGAAATTTAAAATCATTCCTGAAATATTCCCTAGCAAAAGTCTAGAGCAAAAACAGAACCAGACCAGAACCAGAACCAGACCAGAACCAGAACCAGAACACCGCCTTTCCATATTCATGAACAGCTCACCAGGGAGAAACTCAGACGGCTTTGGGCGATGCTTCTGAGGACTCACCAGCGCTCAGAGGGAACTCTCCAGCAGACGGGCCTAAGAGGCTCCTTCCCACAGCTCTCCAAGCCGGGGCTGCTCGCTGCCTGTCAGCACTTCGCCCGAAAGGATGCAGGGCCCACGAGCACTCTGCCTATTTCACTGGCTTTTCCAACACAAATGTTCTTTTTCTCAAAAAGAAGTCACCCGAACAGAAAATCGATAACATCTTATTACTCAGCAGCACCCACACCCCTGTGAAATGCAGCCCAGACCCTAAGTCTGTTCCTTGGGGCCCCGAGCTCAGGCTCTGCCCCCCAGGTTCTCTCCCTGAGCCCACCCGCCCACCCCGGCAGCTGAGGCTCTGTGATGGCCCCCCTCGGCATGGACATGCACCCGATTCCTCGTAGAGACTCTGACCAGGATAGGTGCTGCCCCTGCCCCAGCCCCAGCCCCACTGGGAGCCTACGTGGGTAAGCAGCTGGACGATAGACGGACGGACAGACAGACAGATGGACAGGTGAACTAATATTCCCACTGAGGAGGCCCCGGCACGTCCAGCCTGCACAGCCCGGGGTCCACGCGTGGCATCACCTCAGTGAGAGGGGACAGAGGAGGGCCGTCGGGGGCACAGCCGCGTACAGTGCAGACGCCTGTACGGTTGCGGTCTTACTACTGAGCAGAGAAGACCCTCCAGCCGAGACATTAACCACAGAACTGGTCCAAACCTAGAAAACCCTCACGGCCTTAGCAGAAAGAAGCGCAGAGCGCTCGGGAAGGGCCCTTCCTCCACCGTAGACACAGGGATGTGTGTGCAACGCAAGCAAAACTTCC